AGGTGTTATAGTACAGTAACCCCACAATGCCCCATCGCGTATGGGTGGATTTCACATCGGGTCGGCACAGCATGCTCTTCCACTTTACTTTATCATCATTCATCTCAATACTTTCCTCTTTGACAGACATATCACACAGTCCATCCGCCTATTTAGGTCTCCCCCTTGTCTTACACCCTGCAATCACATTCATACTCAACACTTTTTAGTCACCTGTCTTTCATTCTTTCTCATGACATTTACATACCATCCCTACTTACTACTCCTTATCTTCTCGGTCACTGATGCCGCTTTCAAGCTATCACTATAATATACTCATTGCAGCTTTCAAACCTTATATGGTATTTTCGCATCTGTGCAACGTGCATTATAATCCATCAGTAGATCATGACTGATCTCTACGGCGTCTTATAAACATACCTCTAGATTATAAGAGACATTCATCGGCCAAACTAACTCCCAAGGTCTGTCGCAATTTAATTCAAGCTGCTTTTATACTATACAAGTTTTTAACGCCCCAGTTAATATCACCGTCGATATGTATCAATCAGCCGAGATACTTGAAATCGGATCCAACTGGAAAGATTTCACCGTTTAAGACTATATGGGAAAAATTGGTTGTGCCATCGAAATCGCATAATTGGTTTTCTGTTTTGTCTTTACACGACGCTTTCCAATCTTTTCCACCATTTCCCATATTTCGACATATTTATGTTGTTACGTGAGAAACATTCTCAGATATTAAATCATCGTTAAATGAAACTTATGATTGCGATGAATTATTTTATTAGCTAATGGATTGAGTAAAATCCTAGAACATTCACTAATGCAGCTCGAAACATTAAAGTCGCTCTAAAACTGCATAAAGAATAGAAATCAATTTGTAACGAATGATTGTTTTGCGGAAACATATTTCTTTTGGCCGTTGAATTATTATTCAGGTCAGAAACGAGATTAAGGTTAGGTCGACAAGTCAAAGTGCCCCTAACGAGTAAGCTATTGGCACGGAATTCTTGCATTAATGACTGGAATTTATTTGAAAACCGTGAAGTTTAATGGGCTGCATTGTTATTATGTGTTCACAGAAGTAGGTTACGTTTTTCTGAACACATGCGGCTAGCAAATAGAAAAATGCATGATATGATGACGTGGATATTTCAAAGCACACGCTTTCATTTATTCTCGCCGCATTGTTATTATTTGTAGCATTCAACTTTTAATCCATTTTTGTTCTCATATTGATTTTGAAATAAAAGTTTTTTTGTATTTTTACACAGTTCACTTTACTGTAATAATTATGATAATTTTTTTCCCCATTCTTTCAAGAATTTCTCCGACTTAATCATTTTTCATGTAAATATTATATCGCAAAAGGGTGTCGTTTTTATACATAAGATAGTTTTATCGCTAGATAAACGTACGGTCACATCTATAGGAAAGTTCTACATTTAACGTTAGTTGAATTAATGCTAGTCGATGTTTCTAAATATGGAAGTTGGGTTGGAAACTATTATAGTTATTAAAATGTTGCTCCGCTCAAGAAGACACAACACCGGAGACTAGCGGCCGTGCCAACCATTATGAGTGCAGGTTTCTGGTTACTTTACTTATCTGACGTAACGCAAAAGTATAACATTTTCTTTACTCCAGTCTTCTGTTAAGCTATATATAAGCACCGGAAGGCTGGTGGTCTGACTGAGCAATTGGTCTCGCAGAAATTGTTCTGTAAGCTTCTGTTGCTTTACCAAACAAACCGGAACATTTATTGCGAGAGAGTTGATAAATCCATCGGTGTTAATTACAAAACTTGCTGTTAAACATTTTCATAACAACAAAGCCTTAAATATAACCGACTTATAGTCCACAAACTGTTACCACAGCTACACCATAATATCACCAAACTTTAAAGTACTTTTAGCTAATCAATATCTTATAAGGCGCCAAGAAAATTCGACCTCAAACTTCAGCACGTTTACGAAAGTAATTATTATGCGTGGTTTATTCAAATTTCAAGAGTAACATTGCGACGCCGTCACGCATGCTTCGGTCGGAGTTTAATTACTGCGTAAGAATATATAGATATTTTCAGTTTAGGGCTACCAAAAATCAAAAGTTTTATATTTCGTTCTATGCTTTAATTTTTTTTTTAATTCACTTAACGAAAAACATATAACATCAAGTATTTGTTCAATTATATTACATAGTAGCGAAGATACTTGTAGTACACAAGTAGTTTGTACGAAATTTATTGAAACAGTATCGTTCTTATTTCCACAATATTCGCATCGTGTTATACAATTTGTTCCAGGAAACTATGTATTTATAAATAAACACCAAAATAGACAATAGAACGTTTATGTTTTGTTATAGCAAGACTTCGAAACTGCCGATAAACAGTAAAGAGACGCATATGCAACCCTGTAGGTCCTACGCTGCCTTTTAGTTCTGCCAAGGCGGGTTTACGAAGCGAATATTAGCTTCTTATTTTAAGCATTGTATGAACATACAAAACGTAACGTAAATGGCTTATACCGCTTTTTAATAAGAAGTAAATTTACAAGTATGATGATCACGTTTAATTCAATGCTATTTTCACCGACTTCAATAAATGAGGACGTTCTCACCTTAGTTATATTTTGTTACCTCCGGCCTTTCTCATTTATGACCGGATTTTAGACATCATTGATGCACTGTGTTCGACTTAGCTTCCATTTGGTCTAATATTAGTTTAATTGTTATTGAAATCCGGAAATATGTCATTGAATTACTCAAAATGAAGTATAAAATATAAAATGAGTGAGATATTTGAAATTAGTTTTGTATTTTGTTTTTAAAATTTTTATCATATTTATCATTAGGGCGACGAAAAATTAAGAAATATCTCAAAATTGAGAGTATTAAGAGTGAAACATTCCACTTTTACTATTGACTCCACTGTTCCTACTGTTTATCAATTAATTGTATGTTAAAATCTTATAAGATAATTCGGTACTGTATTGTCAGTTCATTTGTCAAAACGAAACCTACTGACAAACCGATCTTATCACAGCTTATGATCAAGTACGGGCGCATACGTAACATGGTGAACATGAATGTTGAGTGGTTCCTATTTATTTGCTTTGAATAAAGCTTGACTAAAGTAAAATCATTATAACTACACATCATTGTATAACTTGACTAAAAACTTACAGCTTAAAATTATGATCAATGAAAAAAGTGAAAATACCGTCGCGGCCATAGTAGCCGGAATAGCTATACTAAGCTATCCCGGCTAGATACTGATCCGGGCGCTCGTTTTTAATTCAACATACTCGGGCAACCCGAGTACCAAATTTCGGTACAAATGAGATTGCTAATTTTAAGTGCTGACTAATCACGTGCACAGCGGTGGAAATAGTAAAAAAAATATTTCGAAGTCCGCCAAGCCGTGGTGGGGCCGCAAACCCCATATGCCCTAATACCCGCGGCATAGAGGAGGCCTTTGCCCTGCAGTGGGACATATTATATAGGCTGTTTCTTAACGTAATAGCTCGAGTTAGGTGCCGGTTACAATATCTACCCTATATTTCGGTAAGATATTGTAAACTTCATTTAGGAGAAACGGTCCCTTGTTCACTCTAATGCCCACTCAAGTCACGAACGAAAAGGTCCGCTAATTTTAAAAGGTTCGAAACTTAGCGCCGTCAAAAAGTTAGTGGCTGACCGAGATCGGAGAAAATTAATGAGCCATAGAATAAAAATCGGAGGATGCGTGTAGATTCCTGAGCGATTTTTTGGTAGAAAACACTTTAAGCGAGGGATTGTAATAACCCAAGGGCCTCTCGTGAGTTATAACAATGTATTTTCGAAAGCCCATTGTTAAAAATTTATGGATAGCTGGATTACTATCAATTTGCATTTTTACTTAACATATTATATATACATATATAACATTAAAGAAAAAATAAAACATCGTTTATAATGTCACTTTCTGTGTGGATAACGGATGCCAACACTCTCAATTGTCGACAAACTGCCAAAAAAACTGGAAGAAATTACTACCTTTGAAATAAGGGCGCCTATATGTTCACTATGTTTTCTGTATTTTCCATCTATGTATATCCTTGTGTGCAATAAAGTATATTCATATTTCTATTCTAAAAACTGGTGTTGCATATAATCAGGAGCTGCGGTTCTCACTTATGGTACCTTGCTTCTGGGCAAACTCTTTCTTCGGAATCGTCATTTTTTGAAGAACACTTCATAGGGATGTAGCTGAATATGATATGATTGTGAAATAGACGGATATTCTAACTAAAAGTGTAAAATTATGTTGGTTCTTTGTAATACCTTTATAAAAATTGTAGGAAGCAAGTAAGTAGTCGCTGATTAAAGCCTTATAATATTATACATGTCAAACTAGAAATCTTAAAATATTTTTTTCTTTAAATCGAGCCCATCATTTGTCAAAAATTCATAAATAATCAATGTAATAATAATTTCCAACACTACGGTAAAAAATAACATGTGTTCAAATAATACTTTGAACTTCTGATCTAATTCCTGCTCGCTAAATTCACATTGGTTCAGTTCTAATAAATTAATAGAAGAAACAAATATGATTCATCGCTTCGGAAACTATCACAGTGGAATCTACTAAGGGGAGGCCTAGCATAGCAATGAACTAAACTCGCTACATACGGGCCAAAAACGAATTTCTTATCTGATTTAGGGGAGACTATGAGGAATTTGTAAACTAGGTTAATAAAGGACTTTGCGAGGCCCCTTTTTCGCTTGCGGCTTACCAGAACGTGAATCAGTGCCTTCCGATATGTAAGTAATACAATTTCGTATTGGTATTTTACTGAGTCTTATAAAATGCGAAAAGCAGAGATAGTACATTTATTACAAGTCTATCGCAAAGCGGTATTATATACGTATCTGTAATATTTTTTATCATCACTTGTTGGATATTTTGTTCAGATAATATTTTTTTAAGAAAAATATTCTAATTAATATCACTGAAACAATCCTAATAACCACTTGATATGTACAATTAATTTACCATCTGGCACGTATACGTTCAGGTAGAGGCAATCCTCGGAAAATTCCTTTTTCCTTGGCTCCTCCATCTGCGTTTCGAGTAGCTTCATAAACAGTTCGTCGTGTTTATTCAAAGGGTTCTGCACGTCCTCTTTCTTGGGATCGCTTTGCATACAATCCGGCGCGTAAATCGTCGCGTTCCGCACACCCTCCCATTGTGGCAAGTCTGTGTACTCCGGCGGTGTGAAGCGTCTGAAGTCAACTGGAGGCTGGGCGTAAGGAATGCCTACGTATGCCGCCACTCTCTTGGTGCGAAACCTCGATATGTACATCCCCGATATCGTCCCTTGGTTCGCCAGACTGATTTGCTTCGGCTCTCTCGCTGATAGCACTGCCGACGCGAACAATGCAAACACAACGGCATGAATCATTTTAACCGTTAAACGTTCACTATTTGTTCGATTATTTTATGAGAATTGTCCAAAATCAACTCCCACAAGTTGACCGGTCGCGTTTGTTCGGTTGTATGAACATTTTATTCGCCGTGCTGTAAGCCCGTCGAATGGTATCGGGTGGTGGGTGTTCGGGCTCGAAGTTGGTGCGTTACTGTTTCTCGTGCAGACTTCGGCTCGTAAACAGTGGGGCTATCCGTCGTTATAGCGACGAAGGAATTGCTTTTGTGACTTTGTATTTGCTTAGAACGGACGCTTTGAGAAATGATTGCGATTGTAAAGGGGAAGGCTTAAACGAAAAGTCAAGAGGGCTTCGTAGAATTCCACGTTTAGTAGGTTCATAAGGCTGAAATAACTAAATCGTTATGTTAATGGGTCCGATAAATCTTTTTGTACTGTTCTTAAACCAACACTTCTTAAAAAAAACTTATGTTTAAAAAAAACTTTCCCTTATTTATGAAACTACGATGATGAATGTATCAATTTTGAGCATTGTTTTGTTTATTTTTTATATACCGACGTTGATTTATATATTAATCTACCAAGACACTGCAGTAAATTTTTAGTGGATAATTTATAAAAAGTCTGCAGAAATGAAATGTAACGTTGATTAGATATCAAAAGTGGGGATATCCTCATAACATCTAAATACTTGAAATAATTGAAAGCATCCTGATAGTTCCTTTCTTACAGTCATGTGGTATTTTTTTGTATTTCCTCAATTTCTTAATTAGACTACGTCAAAGACATTCCATTCAATATTATTCGATTTCGACTCTACACATTCGTATGTCTTAAATAATAGGCAGTTGGCTTGCGACGCGAACTGATCGCGTGACTGTAAGCTCAGCTTTGGAGTCATTGCATTCGCTATTGCCTTTTTCGTTTTACTTCGCATCATCTCCCCTTATATAGGTCAATGCGACTAAACTATTGATTGATGATAAAATAAAATGAAAATATAAATAAAGCAAATTAACTTTATCATTTTGTTAGAAAATAAATCCTTGATTCATATTATAACTATTTCTTATTTTTTATTTTCTACTTACAAGTTACTTTCTACAAACAAACCCAGCTACTACTGACTTTGTTAACGGCAATAAGATTTCTGTGAAGAAATATATATACTCGTATACAAACAATCGTCACTCCAAACAATTTCACAATTGAAAAATGTTTCAGAGGCGGCGAAAAAATTATAACATTTATTCCAAATTATTTTATTAAAATTAAGACGATTATATTTCCTTTAATAAAATGAAGAGGTTTTTTGTCCAATGAACATAAAAACTATCACAGAAAAGGTATGGATTATAGGTCGTCATTTGTTGCTGAATATGTCGTAATCAACTTAATCTAATGTTAAAGTTGACCAAAAGTATCTGCAATTTATGTGAGGGATTCTTTATTTGTAAATTATAAAGTTTACGTGTAAATAGTATATATAAGGTAACAAGTCCGAAGACTTGTTACTGTATGGAACCCTATAAACTATTCATACGAACATCAAACCTGTGACCCCTCATCGCTGTTCAAAAAAGGCTACCTTACATATTTTACATTACTCTGAATTCCATGTTTATTTATTTATTTAAACTTCATTGTTACCCCTGAGGCTAAGGGCTACAAGTCAACCCATGTCATGGCAGGTGCTAAAAATCAAATATTATTATATTTTTCTTTCATTTATAACATGTATGAATAGATGGATATATATAATTATATTTAGGGACCTAAATGTGTATCCATCGACTTCCCGCACATTTGCACAGGTCGTCACTCCATCTAGTGGGGGGTCGTCCTACACTGCGATGGCCAGTACGAGGCTGCCATCGAGAACCTTTCTTCCCCAACGGTTATGTTCTACGAGCTATATGGCCGGCCCATCGCCACTTCAGCTTGCTAATCCTCTGAGCTATGTCGGTTACCTTGGTTCTACTGCGGATGTCTTCGTTACGAACTCTATGTGCGGGAAGTCAATGGATGCAGGTGGCTCAGGATCGTACTTCGTGGCAGTCTGTGGGGGAGGCCTATGTTCAGCAGTGGACTCAAACAGGCTGAAATGATGATGATGATGAAATGTGTGTATGATCTTATCGGAGGTGTTTCAGAACTTGAACAGTTGACATTAAACACGTAATTCTGGAGGAGCGCCTCTGTCAAATAGACAGACAATAATTAAGCTTGCGCGACGGTAGGAAGATACGTGGTCATAGTAATGTAAACCAAAAATGAATCTTATGCACTTATTTAGAAGGCGCTCCAATTTATCAAGAAGAGATTGGGACAGGTCTGGGTATCACACATCTCCATAGTCAATAGTAGGAAAAATTAGGGACCGGACAAGCAAAAGCTTAGTTTTAAAGGGCAGAAAAATTTTAAGGCGGTAGAGAGAATGTAAGGTGGCAATAACTTTCCGGCCAAGTCAGCCGGAAAGTTATTGCCACCTTACAACGGCAACCGGCATTTCCGACTTGAGTGACTGGTCCAAATGCAAGTCAATATTTTAGACCGATTCATAGAATCGAATTAACGTTCCATTGTAAGAAACTGGGACAAGTCTACTATAATCAGTCCTCCAGACCACCAATTAATAGCTTTGCATTAAGATGGAGTAACAGTAATCCCAAATATGTGCGACCAATCTGTAATTGATTCCAGATTAATATCTCTGAGCCTGATAAGAATGTAAACGTAAATGTAAATCACTATTAATATATAAGAAATGTAATCGCTATTAATATATTAAAAAAAACAAATTTTATATATACTAAATAACTATATAATCACTATTAAAATTTTTATATGCATAAGTTTATTCTTATAACATAATTCATAATCCACTATTAATCGACTGAATACGATTATTGTCATTATTAAATCTTATTTAAAAATAGAATAGTAGACCTTCATCATCAATATTATTGATAACTACGATATTATCTACGAGCGGCTGAACTTAATTGAAACTAAACGTAATTTAACGAAGTACTCTGAAAACTTTGAAATTTCATGACAAAGCAAATACCGCAACTATATTCACTTTATTAGAATACTTTCAAAGTTCCTACAATACCTAATGTGAATTATTTAACGTGTAAATTTAATGCTTTTAAGAGCGATATGAATAGATATGCGTCATTTATCAATTTTGACGTTAATAATTTATCTCTTATCCTTTAAACGAGCAATTCTTTTATATATATATATATATATATATATATATATATATATATATTTTATATATATATATATATAAATCTATATATATATATATATATATATATATATACATCGAAATCTCGGAAACGGCTCCAGCGATTTAGTTTTTCAGATTCGAATTTAGTATGTGCGTAGATTCGTCATTCGTATGTAGTATCACGATCATTTACACACTTGTTTTTTTACTATTTTTTCGATTCCAGATCATTGCTTTTTTTATTTTTTGTCCATTTGTTCTTTTGTTATTTTTTCCCTTTTTTTAAAGTTCTTTCTTTTGTGAAAAAAAACAGTTCATATTTTCTTATTATTACTTTTTTTTTTATACGAAAAGTTGTCAAACGAGCAGACGGTTCATCTGATGTTAAGTGAATACCGCCGCCCATGGACATCTGCCACACCAGAGGGTTACAGATGCGTTGACAACCTTTTGAAAATTGGGCTCCGGCCACCTCACTCACCAGACGAAACGCGAAAGTATTATACTTCCACTTTTCGCTGGTGTTCTGTGAGGTCGTGGTACTTACCCGGTCGGGCCTGCCCATTCGTGCAACAGCCGAGACTGTTGCGTGGCCCTACCACCGTAAACCGTATTACGTCGGTAAGATCGAAAAATATTATGTATATTTCATTACTCAGTTATTTGTATCTGAATGTAATTTCCAAAATACATGATTTACCAAAAAAAAAAAAACCCTCCAGGTACTTTCATATTAACAAAACAATAAATTACTGGGTTTTAATGTTTCGCTATCGTGAGCCGTAATACGTATTTCATCTGGACTGACGGATTTAGTTGGGCCATTTTATCGGCCTTCATGCCTTTTCCTTGTTTATTTTAAAAGCAAATAAAATTCTAAGCCTCGGTTAACCGAGCAGATAACAAATCACCACCGCAAGACCTTGTCTGCTTGCCAAAAAATGTTAAGTGGGACAGTATGTGGGGCAGTTAAAACAAAGCAATGGTTGGCCAACAATTTATTATGTCATGTGCCACACGAACGTGGCAGTTCATTGGCATAAAGTCACAGGTAACGAAATAAGACTGATGTTGTTTGTTAATATATCTATGACATTCCTCAAAAACCATCGCAAATAGGCCAACAAAACACGTCATTACGGAGTAGACAATGCCGCGATATTAACTTTTTCCTCGAAGAACTTAGTCTCAAACATTATAAAGATAAACTGTATTTTACACACTAGTGCGCGACACTAATTAATATAATTATATATTCCATATAAAGGACGTGTGTCAGACATAGCCGTTGAACACGCTGTTTAGCTCAGTTGTTCAGTTATTGACATTGGCTTCTTGTATCTTGTATTAACTGATGTTTTTGCTTTCAGTCCCGAGACTATTAAAGCTTCATCGGACGCAGAACCGGTGGGCTAGCCAGAACTCACGGGTTTGGACCCTCCGCTATGGGTAGGGTCGCGCATGTGCTCATGCGTGCGTTTAACTACTATGGTGTGTCATCTAAGGGCCGTCGAGGTCGCCGGTTCGGACCGAAACCCCGACGGCCGTCGACTGTGCATTTAGCTAATCGGTGGCTGGGAGCGGTGAGAACCGCCCCGGAACGCGGGTGTACCTTGTGTACGCGTTGTGTGGGTCTCGCCGTGCTCGGAGGCGAGGGCGAACTGGTGTGATTGTTGTTACACTAACTGTGGGTGTAGTGTTATCCGCCGGGACCCCCGGCGGTGGGTCCATCGTATCTAAGTCCTCTTCGTCGACCGGGTCGATGAGGAAGTTTCGC